TTTTTAAAAAATGCAAGCTGATATGGAAACTGGGTGGAAGAACCCTGCGCTTGGTAAAATATGAGGACCCTGTAGTGAAGCGGATGAATTTTCCCATCCCTGAATAAAGAGCTTGAAAACATGGGGCCAGAGGCTGTGTTTGACTGAGTCTGGTGCTTTCTGAGGTAGACTGCCACTGAAAGTGGACGTTTTGCTTCTAACCACAGGCAGTAAGGAGGTTTAAAAGGATCCGACGAAAAACGGGACCCTGAGCCACCCCTCCTGCCACCCGGTCGTCCACGTCATGACCTCAGTTCAGCTGGGAAGCCTCGCAGCCGTTTTTGCCTCCTAAACCGGACAGGTGGCTTTCAAAGAATTTGTGGCTGCCACCACAAAATGGGCTTTTCACTCCATCTTGGTGTTGATTTCTGGCTGAACGGAAGAAATCAAAAACCCTGAGATAAAAAATATGTGATGACAGGAATGGTTTTGCCCTAAATCCATGCACAGGCTCCTCTCTGTCGACTGCTGGATAAAGTTAAATTGACACTTTTGGTTAATCTCTGGATTTAGTTGTAGATTTTCTGCATCACGTAGAGACCAGGCGAATGGACCACGGATGTCCTTTCCCGGGGCACAACTCTATGAGGGGAATAGTAAACCGGGAGTAAGTTCTATTCAATTGAATGGGCTTTATGTCTGGATTCTCTGAGAAAGACCATCATTCTGGGAAAGGCGGAAGGCAGCAGGAAAAGAGGAAGACCCAAATACGAGATGGACCAATACCCTAAAGTAAGCCACAAGCCTGAGTTCACTAGAGCTGTTGAAGACAGGAGCTTTCTGGAGGCTGTTCATTCATGCCACATGGCAACAATAGGCACATGGCAACAATAACTATGTCTCAAGAGATGCAAGGACTGTATTTTAAATTAAACATAGTTAAAGACTTGACACAAGATCTCCTCAACAAGAAACCTTTCTATGTCCCCAAAGAGAGAGAGGACAAGAGAGCTCCTGGTTTAAAAGGGGGGGGAGGAGAGAAGACATTTCCCCCCATCAAACTGCTTAGCTAAAGATATTAATCAGGGTGAGTTCAAAATAAACTTAACAACCTCCCCCAACCCCGGAAAGAACGCACATATCCGAATTGCCAAGTTGGCTATAAATTTTCTCGATCATCTCGCAAAAATCTCACTAGGTGTCGGTTAGGGTGAGACGGAGGAACCTCCCCCACGTCCCAGAATTAGAAAGTGCACAAAAGTGTTAAAATTGGTAGCCATTTATAGAGAAAAGGACACACAGGCTGGCCGCGACGCACGTGGCTTTTGCCTTGGGGGGGGGGTCTACCCCGTTTCCATCCACCTTCACGGCTTGCCATTGGCCGCACCGAGCACCCCTGAAGAGCGTCCAAGGCGCGGGGGGGGTTTCCTCCCTCAGCCGACCCTGCACGGAGCTGGCCTTTGGCGGCTATAAAACGGTGGCCTCGAACCTTCATTTCACCAGGACCGTTTCTCCTACAAAGGCGTGTCTCGGGCCATGGGGCATCCTCCAACCGAGATCTGTCACTTCCTTGAAAATGTAGCTCGCCGACCACGGGGGGGGGGCATCATCTGGGCAAATACTCCTCTGGCAGCCCCACAAAGTTTCTCTCTCTTAGCGCGCTGTCCACAGTCAGGATATATTTGCTGATCAAATCCTTCATTTCCTGGGTGAAGGGTTCGAAAGTATCCGGCCACCGGGCTCCGGGCCGCTTGAAATTCCCCTCTCGGTTATTCTCGACGCACAGCAGCCTGTCCTCCGTCACGGTCACGTTCAGGAACCCGACAATGTCCCTCAGCTTGGGCAGCAACGTTCGCTTCAGGTCTTCGTAGTGCACGATGAGGAGGCGTTTGCCGTACCGGAGCCAGTCAAGCACATGGGACGCCCACCATGAGGCGTAGCTGTTGACAAAATCCGGCCACTCTGGAACGGAAGGGGGGAAATCAGAGAGAGAGAGAGAACGTGATGGGGTGGTGGTGGTGGGGTCCGCGTGGGCAGGACGGCGCTTCCGGATTCAAGAAGGAGAAGGAGGCCTCAGAGAGGCGGAAAACCACCACGGACACCCCCAAAGGATCAAAAATCTGCCTCGATTTATGGCCTCCCTATACTGAAAAATACAAATCAAATCAAACTAAATCAAACCAAATCACATCACATTATTATATTATGTTAATTATATTATATTATATTTTATATCATATTAAGGTATCCTTTATCCTTTAATTTGTATTCCTGCATCAAGCAGGGGGGTTGGACTTGATGGCTTATTCACTATTCTATGATTCTATGATTATGTCATATTAAATGCAAAATATATATTGTATAAAATGTAAATAAGGTTTCCAGTGTGTTGTAGTAGATAGAGTGATCAACCAGAACTCTGGAGAACAGGGTTCGAATCCCCATTCAGCCCTGGAAACTTACCAGGGGAGTGGAACTGGTAAAAGTACTCCATAAATACCTCACTTCCCTTGAAAACCCTGTTAGGGTCACTCTAAGTCGGCTTCCGACTGGACAGCACAGAACAACAACAATATATTGGGTCGCTCAGGGGTCACTGAGGTCTACTGGCTGCAGATCCAGAGGTTGGGAGTTCAATCCCCCCCCACAGGCCTCCTGCAAGGACGGCCAGCCTGGGGGGGGGGCTCGGGGGCCGGCTGCACAGTATTCCCAGAAGAAGGGAAAAAGACAAAGCCACTTCTGAGTAGTGTCTCCCTGGAAAGGGTTGCCATCGGTCAGAATGGACTAGATGGCACATGATGATGATGATGATATTGAGGGGAAAAAGGGTGAGATATAAAATAAACAAATACTGACATGTTGAAGAATTTTAATGTGCGTGTGAGTTTTCAGGGACTCCTGTCCTCCTTTCACAGGCACACAAGAGTTACAGCAGAAGAGGAAAGGTTCCTTTTTGGAACTACAACTCCCAGCATGCTGGCCGGTGGATTTTTGGGAACTGCAGAAAAGAAAAATAATGTTTTTCGACGTCTGAAATGCACTACATCTGGTGGGCCTTGACTTGCAGATGGTAAAGAAGGCACTTGTTGCCCAACTGCATGTGAGATATTCATTCATTCATTCATTTGTTTGTTTGTTTGTTTGTTTGTTTGTTCATTCATTCATTCCTTCTACGCTGCCTTTCTCTCCAAAAGGACCCAAGGTGGCTTGCATCATTAAAACAGTATTTAAAAGCTAAAACCAATAAGTATACAAATATGAAAAAAAGAGAATTACAGTAGTGCCTCGCTTAACGGGTGCTCCGTTTAGCGACAAAACCGCATAGCGATTAACTTTTTGCAATCGCAAAAGCGATCGCATTGCGATGTTTTAAATGGGTTTTTTTCACTTTGCGATGATCGGTTCCCTGTTTCGCTTACCGATCATCGCAAAGCGATGATTTTTCAACAGCTGATCAACGGTTCCAAACTGGCCACCGGGTTAAAAAAATAATAGCCGCCCGCTGTGTTTTCGCATGGATTCCTCACTTAAGAGGCAGCGAAAATGGCCGCCGTATGTAGGATCTTCGCTTTAAGGTCAGTTTTTTGCCCATAGGAACGCATTAAACAGGTTTTAATGCGTTTCTATGGGCTTTTTAAAATCGCATAGCGACGAAATCACTTAGCAGCGATTTTTGCTGCACGGATTAACGTTGCTATGCGAGGCACCACTGTAAACTGTCATTATATTAAAATGGTAGCTCAGATGAATATAGAAACACATTTAAAACAACAGAGAGCAAAACAGTGATTAAAACCCTTCTCAGACCACCCGTTATTAAGGGAAACTCTGCCTGAAGAGAAAGGTCTATCTGCCTGCTTGGGGAAAGGGCCAAGAGGAGTCAGCCTGACTTCCAGTGGGAGGGAGTTCCAAAGTCTCTCAGAGCAGCCACCGAGAAGGCCCCCTCTCCCGTGGCCCCCACCCAATGGACCTGAGGAGGTGGCAGGACCAAGAGAGAGGCCTTCCCCGGTGATCATCTTCACCTTCATGCCCGGGCAGGCTCATAGATGGATGGAGATCCTTCAGGACCAAACATCTGCATATTCCACTAGGGATTTAAATCCTTACTTTTTGTTTATCCATTATTTTGACTCTCCACCCACGGCTATGGTACCGTACCTTGGGGTCTCCACAACGCAGAGCTGATCTTGGCACCCACAGAGTCAACACAGGACAAAAAAGCCTTCGCTTTCCAGGTGATTTGGCCTCACTGCCCAGTCAGGGTGTATTTTTGTTCTGCTTTGTAGATCTGCTCACGTGGACCCCAGGATTTTGGATCGCTAATCTCAAGCACCGTGTCCTCCTGCTAAGAGCTGGTCTGGGCTTGAAGATCATCAGGAGAAGCCTTCATAGGTGCATCGGATGGGGACATGGAACAGGGCCTCCTCTGCGGCTGCTCCCAGAGACTCTGGAACTCCCTCCCACTGGAGGCCAGGCTGGGCCCCCTCTTGGCTGTCCTTATTCAAGCAAGCAAAGACCTTTCTCTTCAGGCAAGCCTTCCCTCCGTAAACCAGCTGCCTGTGTGTAATTTTTAGAGGGACTGTATATATGCATTGCTGCTTTGACTAGATTTTTAGAACTACGTACTTGTGTTTTCCATTTCTATGTTTTTCATTTTACAGAGTGATTGTTTTAAAATATTTGCATACTTATTGATCTTTGCCTTAATATTGCCTGTTCATTGAGATGCTTCCTTGTTATTGTTCGTAGTTATTAAATATAACCTTTTAATGATGTTAACCACCATTGTAGACTCACTATTTTCAACTTTAAATATTGCCTTTCATGGTTGTAAGCCGCCTGGGGTCCTTTTCAAGGAGAAAGGCAGGGTAAAAATATTTTAAACAAACAAACAGTGTTGTTCTGGGCTGATTTGCACACTCTTGTGGGTGGGTGACGTGGGGTGATGTTTTTATAGGGCCATTTTTTTCTCTGGATCCTGTAATGCACACCTGTGTGGCTGCAGATAACAGGATAATCTTAGATTTGCAGCAAAAAATGCTAGAAATAATAATAATTTAAAAAATACCCAGAATGATCAGAGACAACACAACTATGTGGCTTCATCCTTAGTTTTATCCTTGTGGGGTAAACAGATGGACTTCCCTCATTCTCATCTTGATTCCGCTTTGGGTGATAAATGGAACAACTTAGCATGTTTTCACCTCCATTTAAGATGGTTGAATTCCTGGCATTTTACTTTCTTACACACGTGACTTTTTGTTGTTGTTTAAAGCCTTATGTTCCTTCCATCTTGGATATGTCCCTCGTGAATTTTTGTAAATGCTCTAATACCAAACAGAATTGATCTATTTTTTAAAAAATAAAATCTATCTGCACTGGCTAAATCCAGTTGCATTTTGTCACCAGTGTGGAAAGGATGATGTTGCACCAGCCTTCTACACAGGTGAGAGACTAGACCAGTTGTTCCCAACTGTGGGTCATCCTAGTCCCTTGGATATGTCCCTCGTGAATTTTTGTAAATGCTCTAATACCAAACAGAATTGATCTATTTTTTAAAAAATAAAATCTATCTGCACTGGCTAAATCCAGTTGCATTTTGTCACCAGTGTGGAAAGGATGATGTTGCACCAGCCTTCTACACAGGTGAGAGACTAGACCAGTTGTTCCCAACTGTGGGTCATCCTAGTCCGACTACAACAGGTGAGAGACTAGACCAGTTGTTCCCAATTTTGGGTCATCCTGGTCCTCTTGGACTACAACTCCCAGAGCTCCTGACCAGCCCAGCTGGGAGTTGTAGTTCAAGAACATCTGGGAACCACCAGACTAACAAAGGAGATATGGAATTTCTCAGAAGAGAAGAGGCAGGAACCTGGATCCGGCCGTGACATTGGTCACGAATGCAAGGATACCAACGTAGACCGCCTGTGCGTTTTGTGCCATCAAGTTGGCCCCGATGTCTGGTGGTCCAGAGAGGGCTTTCAAGGTAAGCATGGTATTTAAGGAGCCATTTGACCGGTTCCACTCCCCCCGTGAGCCTCCATGGCCCACCTAGCTTAACCTACCGAAATTGGGAGAGATGGATCTGTCCGTTTCAATTTATCCCACATCCAGAGGGATTTTTCTTTCTCAAATCCTTATTAAGAAGAAATGGAAATTTCCCCCTACGTCTCTAGGCTGGAATTTTTTAGTGTGCAAAACTCTTAGAATCATAAAAAAGAGAAGTTGGAAGGCCCCTACAAATCCAACCTCACCCTAGACGCAGGAATACAAATCAAAGGAAATCTGCCAGGCGGTTGTCTTATGTTTCTCTTTAATGCCTCCAGGGTTGGAGCGCTCACCACCTCTTGAGGTTATGGTGTCTTACTGTCGTACTGCTCTAACAGTTAAGATGTTTTTCCTGATATTCAACTGAAATCTGGCTTCGTTTAAGTTGAGCCCATTGTTGCATGTTCTGCATTCTGGGATGCTCAAGAACGGATCCTGCCCTTCCTCTGAAACAAAGCTTTTCAAGTCCTTGAAGAGTGCTATCCTGTCTCCCCTTCAATCTTCTTTACTCAAGGCTAAACATGCTCAGTTCTTTCAGCTTTGCTTCAGAAGGCTTGTTTTCCAGCCCCCTGATTCTCCTTGTCGCCCTCCTCTGAACTTGCTTCTCTGTCTTTTCTGGCTCTCTCCCATCTCCCGGTAACTCAAAGAAGTATTCATTGTCTGGAGGAGAAAAATATATTCCCAGCCCCTTTTTTATTATGGAACAGAGATCTGAATCTCACGGTCCGTCATGTGTGGAGAGAAAATGAGCGTGGGGGCGGGTGGGGAGGGGAATCTGACTCTTTCCTCAAATACAGCTTCCTCTGCGATGATTTTTTTTCCTCCAGGATCCCTTGCAAGAAATCTCATGGAATGTCTTGGAAATTTCATGGTCCTTTTCTCTCTCCAAAAGAAGTACCAAAATTGTTGTGCAAATTTGTGTCTTTTCTGTGAGGGCCCCACCTTGAAAGTCCAGAAGAGACACACAAGTTCTACATGATTATTGCAATCCTGTGAGGAGGGAACAGACGGAAAGAACTGGGCATGTTTAGCATTGAGAAAAGATGACTGAGGGGAGACAGGAGAGCCCCTTTCAAAGACCTGACAGGCTGCCCTACCGAGGAAGGGTAGGATCTGTTCTCCATCATCCCAGATGCAGGACACATCATCTTGGGCTCATGCTACAGGAAGGCAAATTTGGGTTGAATCTCAGGGGAAATAAACTTCTTAACTGTTAAAGCAGTACAGCAATGGAGCCCATGACCTCAGGGGGAGTTGGTGAGCGCTCCGATGCTGGAGGCCTTCAAGAGAAACATGGACCACTATCTGTCAGATCTGCTTAAACTTGCATTGAATCGGGGCTGGACCTTATGGGCTCCTTCACGGTTCTATGATTGTCCAGAAAGGGCATTAAAATGCTCAGAATCTGGCCGGACGAGACGTATCCTGCCCCTCCTCTGGAGCCAGGGCAGAAGGGCTCAGGGAGCTTACCTTTGCTTTTCCAGTTCCGATCCGTGGCATATCCCAGGTGGCCAGCACACTTCCGATTGAATTCTGCCACGAGAGACTTGTAGGGGTTCCGTATCAATAAGATGGCAGAATCGAACGTTTCAATCTCCTTCCTGCCGCTCTCGTGCGTTTTGACGCAGATCGTCCTCCTGCTTCTCCAGTGATCTTTTTCCCCTTTGAAACCTAGACAAAAAGATCTCAGTATTATAGGAGATCTTAATAGAGCCATAGACTGTTTAATAAAAAAAGAGGAAAAGCTGTAAATAAAATCTAGATAAAATCTGGCAATCCTGTTGTGCAAATGGTGTGACAGTTAGAAGTAAACCGCCATAGGACTCGGTGTGCAACAGATCATGCCCATGAAGTTTTTTTTAATGTACAGCATTACATTACAGTACTATCTTATCTTCCCATAATGTCTAGCTGTGTGTAGTTGATGTGGTTCAGACCATCATCTCCTTCATCATGATCTAGAAATGTAATAAATTTGATGGCAAGACCAGATGGCAGCTCTTCCCAACTATGGAACAATATGGGAATTGTTAGGATCCCTGACTTCCTTTCTGGGGGCTTTTTCCTCCCTGTTCTGGTGCTGTTTCCTTTCACTCCCCCCATAACCTCCCTCTGGCGTATGTTTTCCTAGGATTGCAACCCAGATTATCTTAATTTTCTTCTGAAATTAGGAATCCTTGCATGCTTTAGTCCATTCCATATTTATCTGCTGGCAAACAGCACAGAGTTATGGGGCAGAATAACATCAATGTAAGGGCCTTGGAGTTGTACATGATGACAGATATAAGATCCATGGTTAAACCAGCCTTTGTAGCAGCCAGCATGGATGTTTCACTGCTCATACCAAGCTAACTTGAAAACTGCAATGGGGGGAGGAGGGAGGGCCCAGGGAGCAGCATACCTTTGTTATAAAGGGTTCCATCAAAGTAGTAACTTCCCGTGTAGAATCCGGTGGCGTGTTCTATTAAGTGACGAACCCAGGTATTTCCCGCTCCAGGGAAGCTTGACAAAGCAACGAAGGCTTTGGATTTGGTGGGCAGAAACCTCCGGTCAGTACAACGGGTGTCTAAAACCAGGCAGAAAAGTAATTTCACGGTTACCACTTCAGAAATGACCAAACGTGTGGGAGAATGCTTCAGTTTCTTTAGACGGCTTCAAGCTGGCCAGCTTTGCACTAAAGAACCTCAGAAACAGAATCCAAGAGGAAGGAAATGGACAAGGATTGATTGAGAGGTTCCATTCTGTCTCCTTGAACATGGCTGATAAGGAAGAAAAGGTGTATTATCACTTCTGCTTGACAAATCTACCTGGCCTACAGTCATGGCAAAGCGAGCTCGTTTCCTTTTCCTTCCATCCATCCATCCATCCATCCATCCATCCATCCATCCATCCCCAAACATGTGTCAATCAGCTCATCTATGCAGGGATGTGTGTGTTATTGGTGGTTTGGCAATTTTCACTGTTGCTATATATTGCATTTCTCTCTGTCCTGACTGATTATGGTCAACAACCATGTAAATTCCTTTCAGGTCTGACTGGTTCATGTAATCCAGAAATGGCCAGGAATGGCCCTATAATATAACACATGTGTCTGTTTCTCATATCTCCTCTGTTAAGAAGTATTGCAGCGGTCACCGGAGTTAGGACAATACAAAGCATGTCAGTTCTTTATCCGAGAACTTGGAAAAGTTACTCTTCTTGCAATACAAGAGTGTTTCCCAAAACTGGTTCCCCAGATGCTCTCGGACTTCAAGTCCCAGAAATCCTGGCCAGCGCAGCCAGCGGGGAAGGCTTGTAGTCCAAGAACATCTGGGGACCCAAGGTTGGGAACCACCAGACGACAAGCCAGCATGGCCACCAGATTCTGGGAAATGAAGCTCAGAAACAGGTAGCCTTTCTAAGACGTGCTTTGTTCTCAGGATGTGAACACAAGATTGATAGACCAGCGGTGGACGGCAAAAAGACAGAACTTTTTATTGCATAGCACGGCGCTGTCTGTCTCTCTACATGAGTGGGGATGGTGTCAAACCACCTGGGCCATGGTCAGTTCCACTTGCAGTTTGACTTAAGAAGATGCTGGCCTCTGCAGCTGGGCCATAGCAAGCTAGACACATACCTGTCCAGCCTTTGTCCCTTACCTTGGACCGGAGTTTGGTAGACGAACCGGAAGTCACCCCCCTTTAACACTTTCTCTGCGGTGCTGACGTTGTGGGTCCGGCTGCAGAACGACCTGTCCGAGCATTTGTGTAGAGGGAAATGAACCGTCGGGAAACCGCAGTGGCACTGAGGTCCGCCCATCACTGCCAACGGGAATTCCTAGTCCGAAGAAGGAAAGAAGCCACAAACATAAGGAGGAAACCAACCGAAAGAGGACAACCAGAACCGAAATTCCCACTTTTTAACTGGATGATAATGAGAAATTATAATGCAGGGGAAAAAAATCTCCCCCCCCCCTATTTTGAAAAATCCAGGGAGATGTTGGCCTCCTTTGAATCCTTTTCTTTAAATTTGTTACTGGTGTTATCAGAGGGAGAAGCTTCGAATCAGGCTGGAATCAGGTCATCAAAGACACCGCAGCGAAATGACTTCATGAACCGCACTCAAACTTGCAAGGTATCAACGGATTAAATTTCCACAAATGCACATGCAGGTTTTTAAAAAATCTCCAGCCATTCTGATATGGCTTATATTTTAGCCAACGGCAGAACCAGCTCCATTGGCTCAGCCAGTTCCTCTCCTCCCATTTTATGTGTCTGCAATAGCAAGAGAGGCTGGATCATACTCTTCACTCCACCGGCCTCTCAAGTACCGAATACCGCTGACTTAACCCTAAACTGTATCCTGCAGCAGCCTTATGCTTCTTTTTCTCTTCTCTCTCTGTCTTCTTGCCCCTCTGCTACCATGTCCAATACACCAAAAGCCATTAGAAATTGGTCAGTTTATTCCTAGTAGAGATGTAACTTCTAATTGCCATCACATACTTTTCTCCCCCTGGCCTCACAGAGATTTCCCCCCTTTCCCAAAAAATTGCACCAAGTAGCCTGTTGCAGTGAGTTCAGGTCCTGCATTCCATCAATTATATGACACTGGCTCTGAGTTGCAATTGCAGAAATTCATTTATAATTGTTTGACCCGGGATAAAAATAAGGAGAATGTCTGGGCCACATTTTTAGGCAGTGACATTTCTGTGCGTACATTTCTCCAAATTTTGTAAATCTGTGCTTCAGTATTGCATGAAAAAGTGCTTATACTGTATTAGGGGAAACGGCCATTTATGCGCATATCGGGGGAAAGTGATTATGACAATAGATTTCAATTTTATACATTTAAAAATAGATGGAGAAATTAAACAGAAAAGGAAGAGGGTGGAAAGTATACAGAAATGACAAGGGCTGAATATATGTTGTCAATGCATTTGCACACAAAATATACATTTTTCCTCAAAGTGCATATTTTACCCTATAATTATGGATTTTAATAGATATTTTGGCATCTTTTTTGGCACTAAGAACTCTACTGCACAATTCAGGGAAGCATGACATGCTAACGAAGGCTGTATTGCAATCCCATCCACGTAGTTGTTTGGGGCGTGTAGTTTGGGGGACAATTTCTTCAAAAATTTGGGCCAAACAAAGTCCATGATCACCCCTAGTTTCAAATGTGAGCTCTCTTGCCAGAACTGACAGAGAATCAATGTATGTAGTCAATAGAATAATCCCTTTATCATGACCTTGAGCCCTCTGTGATTCTATAAATATGGCATAAATACTTGCTTTTCAATTATAATCACACTTAAAGATCAGCCAGAATTCTGTTGCTCAGTGAAGGAAATTGCACTAAAGCAGGCCCACTCAATCCGTGGAAATTCTCTTGCCAGAACTGACAGAGAATCAATGTATGTAGTCAATAGAATAATCCCTTTATCATGACCTTGAGCCCTCTGTGATTCTATAAATATGGCATAAATACTTGCTTTTCAATTATAATCACACTTAAAGATCAGCCAGGATTCTGTTGCTCAGTGAAGGAAATTGCACTAAAGCAGGCCCACTCAATCCATGGGAATATGGTGAGTCAACTCCTCTCTAAGTTCCATTGATTCAAATGGGCTTACTCTAACTACAACTTGCTTTAGTATGTGGCAGCTAGGTAAACGTTCCCCTTGACAATTAAGTCTGGTTGTATCTGACTCTAGGGGCCGGTGCTCATCCCTATTTGCAAGCAGAAAAGCTGGCATTTGTCCGTAGAAATTTTCTGTGGTCCTGTGGTCAGCATGACTAGGCATGGACCACTTCCTTTCCCAACGAGGTGGCACCTATCCATCTACTTGCATCTACTACAACTTGCTTTAGTATGTGGCAGTTAGGTAAAGGTAAACGTTCCCCTTGACAATTAAGTCCGGTCGTATCCTACTCTAGGGGCTCATCCGTATTTGTAAGACGAAGAGCTGGCATTTGTCCATATACATCTTCTGTGGTCATGTGGCCGGCATGACTAGGCACAGACCACAGTTACCTTCCCAGTGAGGTGGTACCTATCCATCTACTTGCATTTGCAGACTTTTGAACAGCAAGGTGGGCCGGAAGTGGGGACAAGCCACGGGAGTTCACCCTGTTGTGCAGATTCGAACTGCTGACCTTTCCCAGTGCCACTCATGTCCAAGTTGCAGTTAGAGTAGGCCTATTTAAATAATTGGATCTGATGGAGAATCAATCTCCATTGATCCAAATGGCTTTAGTGCAACAGACTAGGCTAAGCCGCAGCAAGGTGGGCCGGAAGTGGGGACAAGCCACGGGAGCTCACCCTGTTGTGCAGATTCGAACACCTTTCCTTTCCCAGTGCCACTCATGTCCAAGATGCAGTTAGAGTAGGCCTATTTAAATAATTGGCTCTGATGGGGAATCAATCTCCATTGATTCAAATGGCTTTACTCTAGTGCGACGGACTAGGCTAAGTCATAGGATTTTGACCATTCTATTTGTGGTCATAAAACTTCCGAGCAGAGATGATGTAAGTCCTCCATTCTGTCCTCTCAAGAGATTCAGGCTCTTTGCTTGGAAAAAAATATAGCAAATGATACTACATTCTTCCAATGGATTGACTCCCTAAAGCAGCGGTTCCCAACCTTGGCCCCCCTGATGTGGATGGACTGAAACTCCCAGAAGCCTTTGCTGTGCTGGCCAGGATGTCTGGGAATTGTAGTCCAAGGATATCTGAGGACACAAGGCTGAGAACTCCTGCCCAGAGGAAGCCACAGGCTTGAGTTTGCAAGAGCAGAGCAGGATTCAGGACCTTCTGGAGATCAATCATTCCTTGGGTCACCATAAAGTTGGAGGTGACTTGATGGCAACAGAACAAGAACACCCCTTCGAAAACATCATAACCTTTATGGAAGTGGTTTGAGAAGGAGCCAGTGGTTTGTGTTTACATGGAAAAGACACACACTCTCTCAGAGTATTTGATCAACACCGTAGTGACCTTCCGGCTACTGTGATATGCATCCTGAAGTTGTTCTAAGGTTAAGGTTAAGGGCCTTTGCTGTGTTGGCCAGGATCTCTGGGAATTGTAGTCCAAGGATATCTGAGGACACAAGGCTGAGAACTCCTGCCCAGAGGAAGCCACAGGCTTGAGTTTGCAAGAGCAGAGCAGGATTCAGGACCTTCTAGAGATCAATCATTCCTTGGGTCACCATAAAGTTGGAGGTGACTTGATGGCAACAGAACAAGAACACCCCTTCGAAATCAAGTTATGCGAGAAAACATCATAACCTTTATGGAAGTGGTTTGAGAAGGAGCCAGTGGTTTGTGTTTACATGGAAAAGACACACACACTCTCTCAGAGTATTTGATCGACACTGTAGTGACCTTCCGGCTACTGTTAGATATGCCTCCTGAAGTCGTTCTAAAGCTGCTCTCAAACACAGAACAGTCGCCGTGGGGGAGAACAAAGTAATTCATGGAGAATTCCCCAGAATCTTTTCCATGACAAGGCATTGGAGAGATGTCAACATAACTGGGTTCACATTGTCTTGTTTTGACTTCAGCGAAGACCACGGCAGGGACTATGAACTGTGGGACATGAATGAAAAGATGAGCTAGGGTACTAAGCAAATCTTGCAGCAGTCTAGAGAACGGAAGGAGAGAAGGAAGTGAGGCCGTCTCTCAAAGCTTCCGTTGACGTCGCGGGTGGAGAAAAACTAGCATTCAGAGCACCCCTGACCTCACCCTCACCCAGAGGTGGGGAGTCCCAGCCATCTGAAGATTCCTTGGTGAGGTGCCCTGTTAGCCAAGACAACCAAAATTCAGCAAGTATCCTTGACACACCAAACAGGAAGCTGTTCTCCTGGAGAAGGTTCTCTGGCTTGGACTCTGTCCGGGAAAGCAATGGGGGGGGAGTGGTCCTGGGCATCGACGTAAGGTAAGAATTGAAGGACTAGAGTTCCCAGTTGATACACCTATTTACCCTGACTTGAAAACGTTGGCTTTGTTGGGACGGTGACTTTTAGGTGATAGCGTCAAAGAATCCAAAAAGGAATGGCTAAATTTCTGAAAGGAAGGAAATCGGTGTGAAAATGACACACCAGCACACAGGCAGCTCAGGATATTAGGTCACTCTTAGCGAGATTGCAGCAGGAGGAGAGATCGGCAGCCCGTGAGTGACTGAGTGGCCTTTTTTTAGGACCACCCGGCTCACCTCCTTGTTGAGGAAGGACCTGGAGAAGGTGCCCTTGTACTCTGTTTCACCATATTCTGGCCGGAGAGGGCAAGCTGATGGGCTCGGCCCTTTCCCTGACCCACAATTTCTGAGAGAAACTCGCAAAAATAAAAGAATAAAGTCTATCCCAATTATGATCATGGCATGGAACCTTTATGTCCCTTTCGATAAGGCTTAGAGTAGCAGACCAGGTGTTATCTTAAAGTGGCCGAGCAACACTAGTTGCTGGAGGATCTGGACGGCTCATGTTGGCAGTGCCGCCCTCAGTGAAAACGTCTCTCAGGCGCCTGAAAGAGGCCAGTGCTGGATACGTCTTCTTCTGGAGTGGTCATCTTACTTGTCACAAAGCAGGGATCAGTTTGGTTGTTTTGGAACCAGATTGTCGTCAAAACGTGTACTTTGCCAAAAGACATGAACAACTTCCTGATGACTCCTAGAGTCCTACTCTCTGGAAAGCCATATGCTACGTTGACCCGTGGTTACACTCCAACCCTGTGCGCGCCAACCATGAGCAACAGAAATGACATCAAAGGCCAATCTTGACTCTGATCTTGGCTCCACCCTAGATGACGTGCCACGATCCACCAATGGGCAACTTTAATGCCCAAGTTGTCTCCGATCTTCAAATGTGTATGGAGTCACTGCCAATGGGAAACAGCAGTGTTTTACTTTTCCTGAGGATTTTGCAGCAAATACAATCAGCTGATCACAAAGTTCTCAACGTCACGTTTTTGATTTCAGAACAGAAACGAAGCAACCTGAAGGCATTCATGGGCCTGACAACAGCATCCCTTAGACTACAGCATTATTAGACATCGAGAAAGACGCGATGTATATGCTATGTGATTGGTAGAGCAGAATGTTGGAGGGCCCACCCAAGGTTAAGAACCAGTGCCTTAGACTACAGCATTGTTAGACATCGAGAAAGACGCGATGTATACGCTATGTGATTAGTAGAGCAGAATGCTGGAGGGCCCGTTGAACATATCGATAAAATTGGCACAACGCCCACAAGGAAAACAAGCATCACAGAAATGAAATGTCTCCAAGCTTAGCCACGAAGTATCCAGCTTGATTCTGGAGACAAAATTAAATGCAGATATAAATCAAATTCCAGCCAGGAGCCAAACATTGACGATCAATGGAAAACTCCTTACGATACTATACATGCCACCACGAAAGCCCTTGGACTTAGGAAATGTATCTGTCAGGATCAGTTTGATGAGAATGATGAGGAAATTGCAGAACTGATTGAAGAAAAGCATCAGTTACATAAAGTAGTTAACAAAACACTTGTCAATAAAACTACTTTCAACAAAATTTGTCTCAAGTTGCATTCTCAACTGCAAGAGATGGCGAACTCATGGCTGAGGAGGAAGGCAGAGAAGATTCAGGAGTTTGCTGAGCACTGAGGAAACCAAAGAGTTTTTGAAACATGTCTGGCCCCTAATCTGTGGGCGCGTCATCCTTCTTCATTTGAAGTAGAAGCCAGAACCCATTAGGAGAAGTCAAAGATTTTGCAGAGATGGGCGATGTGTTTTCATAGTGGGTTGAACAGACCATCTGAAGTTGATGAAGAGGCCATTCGTAGGCTGCCTCAAGCGCAATCAACAATTCCATGGATCTCCATTAAAGGAAAAGCTCTAGAGGCAAACACGGATCCCACAGAGAATGTAAACATGGCGGTGAAAAACATCTCCAGCAACTGAAGCACCTGTTTCAAGAAATGTGGACACAAGGCAAAATCCCTCAGGACTTCAAAGAGGCAAGTGGTCCACTTTTGTAAAAGGAAAGGCAGCGGTTAGTGTTGTGGAAGGCATCCGACTCCTTGGAAAACGCTGGCAAGAATCCTGCTGTAGAGCTTCATCCAATGCTTGGATTTCTTATCATAAACTGGATGTGGCTTCGGTAACGAGCATTCGAAAGACTTTGATCCTTTGTGCAGAACAAATATGGAATCACTCTTTCCTTCATGCTGAAGAGACACAGAATCCTTGAGTCTACTTGAGTGGAGGCATAGACTATCTGTCAACCCCATGCAGGAAAGCTGAAAGTTTTCATCCTACTCGTGTCCAGAGCATGCTCAAGATGTTACATAGACATTTTGGAGCAAACACAGGTGGCAAGCATTTTTATAATCTTGAAATAACCGTGATTTCATTGGGCTGGCCACTTCAATAGGATGATGGATGGCCTTCCCCCCCAAATGTTTTCTTTTTTGTGGGAAGCTTGTTGCAAGCACTCAGTGGTGTGGTGGGAAATAGTGAAGACCACATTTGAAAGAATGTAATATTGACCATGCCAACTGACACTCGAGACCAAAATTAGTCACCCATCCTAGTTTCCACCACCTGGGCAGGGTCAGCTGGAAGAGGCGGCTTCCATTCCCCGCCACCGGGATCTTAGCGGCCTTCTCCCTCTCCCTTTCTCTCGTCCCGCTGGCCGGCGGGATCCTGAAGCGGGCTCCACCCTCCCTTTTCTGCTTGTTCCTTCTCTTTGCACTGGAGATCCTCACCTGCTCTGTGCCTCAGCCTGCGGCCACTGAGGCCCCGATGCAAAGAGAAGGGGCCACTCTTTGGGGTGCATCACACTCCTGCAGGCAGAGGGCAGGAGCGGGGGGGGGCTCTGCAGGACTGCAGAACACAACACCCCCCCTCGTATCTTGGCTGTAATTTTCAACATCACACTAGACTATGAATACACTTACAGATTTATTTCTTGTCATATAATCTATAAAGGGTCGATTTGGGGCTCAATTATGAGGGCTCAATATTGTTTCAGCATTATTCTACAAAGATATGAGGACAGGAGTTGAGAACCAGTGGCCTTTCAAGGGGGGAAAGGGAGGGAGGGGGCAGGAGAAGGAAGGACAGACGGACGGACGGACGGACGGACGGACGGACGGACGGACGGAAGGAAGGAAGGAAGGAAGGAAGAAAGAAAGAAAGAAAGAAAGAAAGAAAGAAAGAAAGAAAGAAAGAAAGAAAGAAAGAAAGAAAGAAAGAAAGAAAGAAAGAAAGAAAGAAAGAAAGAAAGAAAGAAAAAGTCCTTACCTTCGCGGAGCAAAATTCTGAGCACATTTCTACTGTCAGATTGGAATGTATCAAAGAGGCAGGAAAGGTGTTTGTTAAATTTTCTGGTGCTTTAAAACATCCTCGATAGATAACATTTCGCCCTGCGGGGACAGAAAATAAGTTTCTCTCGAGCAGCCGCAATCAACGTAGCCACGAACTATCACAGGAATAACATCACTCTTGGATTCTGTTCGGGGAGACATTCTGTGTTTGCAAGTAATCGTGTTGCGTCGGAACATGAACAGCATCGCATCAGAATGTGAGGAGACGAGCGCTTCAGGTCCTGCCGAGGTGAAAGGATCCCATTTCCCCCACAAGTGGGCCTGCCTGTCAACAAGGAAGGCTTCCACAGGAGAGTTAAAATCAGGTCCCACCCACCGCCATGCAGGAGGGGAGAAGGATGGTTTTCCTGACTGGGTTTCCCTTTGAAGCAAGCTCATCGACTCCTGGCTGTCTCCTGACTTCCCCCTGCAAGGTTTCGAAACCTTTTGATAAAAATCTGCAAATCTTCCCATGATTGGCACCAGGAAAAGGGAGGGAACTTCAAGGAGCCATGAAACACCTTCAGGGCAGGGGGGCAGGCATGTCTCTCTGTGTTGGGTGGCTTCTATTGCCAAATCGAT